GTAGATCCTACTTCTTTTCTTCACTTGGGTAGTTTAGGGGAGTTTCAAGGCTCTCCGTCTGTTTGGCTCGGTGTAATCGGAGATGGACGTTAAATTTGGAGGTCCTAGCCCTCAAATAACTTTGCGTGTTAAAAGAAGCATTAAAAACCCACACAATGGCGACCAGACGAAAACAAAACAACTTTTGACAGAGGGTCCTTGAGATAGATGAAAGGTCGGGCAGAGGGTGGGGGGTGGGGGGTGGAAAGGGGGTTAGAAGTTGGGGGGTGGGATGGGGGTGGAGGTCGAAAGGATGAAATATCAGTCGATCCTCGCCTTTATTTTCGTGAACATGGCCTTCGCACCCTCATAAAGAGATTGGAATCTTCGTCTTCTCAGGTCGTATTTCTCACAAACAACTGAAAACATTTTAAGCACTGTTTATTGTGTGGTAGAGTAACTTGCACCCATGGCCTCTGGAGATTAACTTTTTAAATATGTGCACGACACGGTGGAATCATTCGCACGTCATTTTTTGGACATACGGATTTACTGTTATCATCTTAAAGCTTGTTCATTTGTCTTTCTTTTGAGGAAACAAAATACCCTTCTATTTTGAATAGAATTTGAGAATTTACTACTGAAGGAGTAAACTGTACATTTTAAAATCTAAATAAAGGCAGTTTTGTGACAATCGTTCTCAGTCTTCCCAACTAATATTGTTGTACAGCAGCTGCTGTGGACTACCTACAGCCCATAGGCTAGATTTGGCCCTTTATGGAGGCTTGGGCAACCGACGAAAACTTTCGTAAAATACAATTAAAAAATAGAAATCAATAAATTTCCGCAAATAATGATCTCATTAAAATAAATATGTCGAAGTACTACAGCCAAAAATACTTTTTCTTGTGAAATTTAAAAGAAAATAGGTTTCTACAGTATACAAGTTCTAATATATAGATTTACATTTCATATTTTGTATTTTATCATTTTAAAACACATTTTAGCGTCCTATGCCTAGTAGTAATCGATGTAGCTCTTTGATGTTTTGGGCCAACCGAAATGGACTCCGATGTGAAAAGTTTGAACTGTTTTAGTAAGTTTTACGGTATTTGAAACACAATAAGATTTTATAAGTGCCGAAGTTAGAGGTGTCAGAAGAGAGTAACAAATGCAAAAAAGGAGGGGAGAATAGGACAGTAGATGTTTTGTAGAAAAGAAGTAGAAAAACACACGAGAGCACCCACCAACCACCCGCTGAAAAGTTTGCCCTCCCCTGTTGGGTAGGTACCTCTAGGTACCTAAACTAGTTACGCCCCAAGAATATTATACATAGAACTTAAGTTCAGAGGCCCTTGACACGTACCCTGATCTCACCAGCCTGACGGTAAAAGACAGCACTGATTTATGCAAGACCTCCGATGTCGACACAGTGTCAGGTTACCAAGATAAAATGTCCGCTTACGAAAGAAGAGTTTGTGGTGGTAATGTTACGTTTGGACAGTCTAGGACAAATTGTGTTATGGTGTGTTGGAATCAGGCGCTCGTCAGTTGTTGTTTTTTTGGCTTAGGTTGTTGTTGGTGTCATTTTAAAGTTTACTTGTCTTGCTCTTGAGGAAATAATACCCACCTATTTTGAACAGAAGTCGAAATATTTTCGTTGGAAGGAGGTGGGGGTTGCCCGGTGTCAGAGCCAAAATCAGTGACGAGAAAATGGCTGCCAAAGTTTGGTGACTCCCAAAGCTGAAGTTTCTTTGGAAACCACAAATTTATATTTAAGTTTCTGTGTGTCTTTGATCAACGTTTTTGAGTAAAATCCACTAAGAAATGTGTTTTTAGATGTATTTAAAAGGTGATGACTCATGTCGAATGTCAACTCACCTGTGGCGAAAGACACTTTTAGCTAGTCTATTTTTCATTCTTCAAAATTCTTCTTCTTCTTCTTCTCCTTCTCCTTCTCCTGCTCCTCCTCCTCCTCCTCCTC